AACCAATAAATCTTTGTGTTTACTCCGTTTTTATAATCATACTGGTAAAATGCCTCAAACATCATCACACCCTCGACGGAGCTGAACAATTTTAACTTCCATGTCGATGCTGCGTATGCGAGCATAATTGGCTTGTTACGTTGGCTGACTACAGTGCGCAGCAAAAAAGCCTTCAGTTTCAGATTGGACATGTAACGTGTGCACGACGAAGAGTAATAAGTCAAAAAGTTGTTTGAATTCCCCCACCTTTTATAATCAGTGGACTTGAACGGCCTAAAACAGTATGATATTGAAATGAATCACAACACTGTAGATGCTAATTGATCGAAGCATTCAATCAACGACCTTTGAGGAAACTTGACTGCATTAGTGAAATATGAAGTATACCATAACTAATACAGTGTTTCGAACATCCTGCTTACCCTTCTTCAAGAGTAGTCGATGAACTACGAGATTTCACTTAATAAGCGTTGAAACTGATTTGCGGAATTTTCCTGTTCGTTTTTTATGCAATTCAGTGTGGGAAAATTTCGGAAAACAAATAAAAACAGAGAAACGCAAATATAAAAATTTGACAACGTAACAGATGGCAAAGTAAAAATTAAGTTTTCAATCTCAAACAACAAATTCTTTGAGTTTTAGGGAAGGTGAGGTGACAAAACATTTTCAATCAGTTTGTAAGAGGTTGGCGCGGTGCATTTAATTACTATGTTATATACATTGAGTTAATCACCATGCCTTTACTTTTTTTAAATGTCGCCCACGTTAAATTATCTTCAAACCTCTTCATAACTGTGCACTACTCTGGTAAGCATTAATCTGACACTGATTTATGCGGGTGACTACTTCTACTGCACTGGGTGCAGACGCACTCACTTGCGAGTGAATTAGTGAATTAGTGATATAGCCTCAACCACCAGATTCTGATGGGATGACATTACAAAGACGATGGATGTGGTTTCGGATTAGCTTGTCCAAAAGGCTACGCAGCCTTGCGTACTTTTCACGCACAGGCATTTCCAGAAGGAAGCCCAAGGCTTTCACAAGGAGGGGGCCCAGATCTCACATGCAGAAGACTTTCATCCCGGCCACACCCAAAAAGGACACACTTTACTCGATTGTCATCCCATCAATCACACTTACATATTATCATAGCCACCGAGGTTTCTAATCGGTTTGCAGCTCACCAAGGCACGAATCCTGACAGATTACTACTTGATTGAAGCACGCCAGATTTAATATACATCAGAATGTGTTGATAAGTCGTGGACATTAATCCCGCGTACTGTTCTCTTTGCGTTCCCCCCTGTGTGTTTCAGTCGCATGAATGAGCACGAATGTCAAGTGTTAGTGGACTGATCAAAGTGGCTGTCACGTAGATAAATACAAGTTACTTTATATTAGACGCGCCCGAATACATACAAACAATTTCGACATTCCCCCACTATAAATTAAAAAGACAAAGCGCATGGCATGTTTGCTGTGAGACAGCTGCAAGTGCGTGATTGTTGTTT